GGGGGTGGGCGCCCGCCCCCGCCCGCCGGGTTAGGTGGTGGCAAGCAGAAACTGCCCATAGCTGCCGGTGGTGTCAGCAGCAGGGGGGAGGCAAGTGGGGAGCGCCTGCAGACACCACTGGCTGCGTTGGCAGCAAGGGGGAGGAGGCTGGTGTGAGTGGTGAGTGGTGGTGGGGTGGGAGTGTGGGTGCAGCCACTGGCAGCTTCAGCAGCGGCCAATTTCAGGGGGGGCACATGCCCCCTGTGCCCCCTTATGTGTTGCCTATGGCACCCATATTTAAGAAAGGGAAAAAGGAGGATCCAGGGAATTACGGACCAGCCAGCCTCACCTTGGTTACTGGACAAATCATGGAGCAGATCCTCAAGGAATCCATTTCTAAGCATTTAGAAGAGAAGGTGATTAGGAACAGTCAGCATGGATTCATCAAGGACAAGTCATACTTGACCAGCCTGATTGCCTTCTATGGTGGCATGACTGACCTTGTGGATCTGGGGAGACCAGTGGATGTGGTGTACCTTGATTTTACCAAGAGTTTTGTATATGGTCTCCCACAACATTCTTGCAGGCAAGCTAAGGACATATGGGCTGGATGAATGGACTTTCAGGTGGATACAAAACCGGCTGGACCATCGGGATCAGAGCGTAGTAATCAATTGCTTGATGTCTAGTTGGCAGCCAGTATCAAGTGGAGTGCCCCAGGGGTCAGTACTGGGGCTGGTTTTGTTCAATATGTTCATCAATGACATGGAAAATGGGATGGAGTGCACCCTCAGCAAGTTTGCAGATGACACCAAGCTGAGGGGAGTAGCAGATACTCTGGAGGGTAGGGCTAGGATTCAGAGTGACCTAGGCAAATTGGAAGTATTGGGGCAAAAGAAATCTCATGAGGTTCAACAAGGACAAGTGCAAAGTCCTGCACTTAGGATGGAACAGTCCCATGCACCAGTACAGGCTGGGGGCTGACTGGCTGGGCAGCAGCTCTGCAGGAAAGGACCTGGGGGTTTCAGTGGACAGTAAGGAGCCCTTGTTGCAAAGAAGACTAATGACATACTGGGCTGCATTGGTAGGTGTGTTGCCAGCAGGTCAAGGGAAGTGATTATTCCCCTCTATTCAGCACTGGTGAGGCCACATCTGGAGTACTGCTCAGTTTTGCCCACCCCCCACTACAGAAAGGATGTGGACAAATTTGAGAGAGTCCAGTGGAGGGCAATGAAAATGGTTTGGAGGCTGGGGCACATGACTTGTGAGGAGAGGCTGAAGGAACTGGGCTTATTTAGAGAAGAGAAGTTGAGAGGGGATTTGATAGCAGCCTTCACTTACCTGAAGTGGGGTTTGAAAGAGGATGGATCTAGGCTGTTCTCAGTGGTGACAGATGACAGAACAAGGGGCAATGGTCTCAAGTTGTAGCAAGGGAAGTTTAGGTTAGATAGTAGGGAAAAAAAATCACTAGGAGGGTAGTAAAACACTGGACCAGGTTACCCAGAGAGGTGGTGGAATCTCCATCCTTGGAGAGTTTTAAGGCCCAGCTAGACAAAGCCTTGGCTGGGTGATCTGGGTGGGGATGGTCCTGCTTTGAGCAGGGGGTTGGACTAGAGGTGACTTCCTGAGGTCCCTTCCAACTCCCATTGTCTATGATTCCATGGGGAAGGTGTAAGGAGCAGTGGCTGCTCCACTCCTGCAGGTCTACAGGGGAATGGAGCACTGGGAAAAGATTCCCCCTACTTTCCCAAGACCAGAAGCACCCTGGTCTGGAAAATGGGCAGGGAGGCATGGTAGGTATTCCTCCCCTCTTCCAGTCTCCAGGAGGAGAAGATCAGTGGGGCACTGAGCTCCATCCATTCCTCAGACTGGGGTGTCCCTGGTCTTGCAAAGACTCAGCGTGGGCAGTAGCAGCTCAACTCCTCTGTGATTGGGAGGAGTTGAGCTGTGGGGAAATTCACCCTCTATATTTCCTGGTTTGGGGAAGGCACAGGAGAAACTGCTGCTTGACTCCTGATCATGGAGGAGCTAATCAGAATTATAGAGGTATTCATTCTTGCAAGAGAAACTCTCTCACAGGGGACTGTCATGGGCAGATCTTTCTGGTGTCAGCCTGGAAGATTTTTCTCCCATGGGGCTGTCTCCCCTCAAGGAGAAAGTGAACCAACACCTGTAGGGTGGGATTTTCTACCAGGAGAGTGTCAGTTCTCCCAGCAGAAACATAACTTGGGTCACTTACAGGTGTTATGTTTCTGCTGGGAGAAATGAGTGGGATGATCTATGGTGCCAGAACCAGGAACAGCAGAGAGTACCAGAACCTGCTGCTTTCCTTGCTGGTTTACACATTCAACTCCCAGTGTTCATTTTCATCCAAAAGAGCAGTGTGGAAGAGCCATTGTTTTACTAAACTATTTATCCATGTTATTCTTTTGTATTCCAGTTTTTCAGTTCACCATTGCAAAATATCAGCTGACCCCTAACGTCAATAGGGGAAACTCGTGAGAACAGTCCTGTTGTGAAGGGATTAATCTGTTTTCTCTTTTATTTGTTAGGATTTTTATTGCACCCTTGATCATCTGTTACATTATTTTATGTCTGCTTTGCAGGAATACAGGAGAACTATGGTGTTGCTGCAGGTCATGTTGTCAGGAACAAATTTTCTCTCATCACCACTTCCATGCAATGAAATCTGAATAGTGTGTTTTAGCATTATACCAGCTTAGCTGAATCACTGTTTAGCATCTGTACTTTGAATCCAAGTTACCATGTACCTTTTTTAACTACCCTTACTCATCACAGGCTAATTCCTTTTGTTGTTGCCATTGTTAGGAATTTTCCCAAGTGGGTGAAAGTTTGACCCCAGTGAAAGTTTGACCCCAGTGGAGCATATCATAAGAGTAGATAAATGCCAGACTGAATACAGACCCCTGGGAGCTCTACTACTTGACCCTTGGCTGCCCCTCACCCTTTATACCATCTCCACACAAGTGAAAATATGTCAGTCAATGCTGCATTAATGTATCTTCAGCACGAATAGGACTTGGAAAGAGCTAAGCTGATAGGAGAAGTGAAAGTGGGAGGAACTGCTGGTAATAGGGAGACCTGTATGGCAACTGCTGAAGCATGTTATGACATGAGAGTAGGTCTGAGTTCTCCTTTCAGTAAGAGCTCAGTGTCAAGGAAGTATGCTAGGGTTGGGAACTGACATTGTGGTTATACCGTGATCATAAAATATAATTGATATTACTGGATTAATGCTTTTTTTCTCTATCCATGACAAATAGATCATTGCTATAACTAGCCATTGCTTTCTTTTAACCATGTTATGTGATTCTGTTATGTATTTTGGGGAAGCATTTATTAATAGTTTTTCACTGAACTGTGTTAAATATGCATTCATACGCTAAATACTAATATATGTAAAATCATGTTATTGTCTCCAGCCTTGTAAAGTATTTTGGAAGAATACACAAAAATAAATTGCATTGAGCATGGGCTGCAAACATTAATTTCTGTTTCCATTGGCCTGTGGAGATGTTTTACAACAAGCTTGATATGCACATACCGCTTTTTTTGTTTTTAGGATGCTTGGGTGTACACCCTTCACAATCATGTCCTATTTCTTCATGTGGTACTTGCCTCCTTTCGTAGCAGGAAGAGTTATTTGGTACCTGATTTTCTATAGCCTTTTCCAAGCATTAACCACAGTAAGTAGCTCACCATGTGTGGTGTTCTTAACAATAACATGCTCGATTTTCTTCCTTTGTGGGTTTGAGGGTTTTTTGCCTTGATGTTGTGTATTGAGTCCAGTGAGATGAAGTGCCTAAATCACTTTTGAATATGGGAGTTATGGTCTTAAAGTGGTTAGTCTCAGATCCACAAAGGGACCTGGATTCACAGCTCCGCGGTTACCATTCACAAACCCAAATTAGATGCCTAAATTGCATGTATAGTGAATGAGGTGTGAGGTGCATTAGGCATGTTGTAATCTCCATATAACACCTTTCATCTCAGTGGGTCCCAAAGCACTTTTCTGACAGTTTGTACCTTGTATATACGGACAGTATCCGTATCACCCATTGCTAAGTTGTAGCTATGGTGGAAGCGAAACATGGTACTTTGTTACGGCTAAATGACCAAATTAAAGGAGGTAATAGGGGGCAGATACATAATGTGGACCAGCTGATCTGAGTGTGTTTGTAATTATATTGTGGGAAGAGAAATTTAGCAATGTAGTGCTGTTTCATTCAGAGCTAAACTGCTATGGTTTAGCTTTCACTTACTATAAGGCAGAGATGGTCTCACCTGGGACCCCACGCTAGATCTGGACTCCTTGTGGGCTGGATCTGGCCCAGAGCATGTGGCTGTGGCCACAGCCCCCAGCTGGCCTCCGTGGCCGTGGCAGTCACTGCAGCAGCAGTGGGGCAGGCAGCTACAGGCCAGGCAACTGCTTGCTCTGGCAAAGGCACACGAGTTGCAGCATGCCAGGCAGCCACAGGGGAACCAAGGGCTGTCTTGCAGTCTTGTTCTCTCATCTGGCACCGATGCCCGTGTCCACCAGGGCCACAGGTTTTGCTGTAGGCCCTGCCCTGCCCACCACTAGCCATGCCCCCAAGCTCCCATAGCCCAGCAGGCTGCATGGCGTAGCTCCATGGGCTGGAGCCATAAATTTGCTGTACCTGCCATAAGGTAAATGCAGGCGTATGAGTACTTACCATGCCAGCTGTTCCACAGTAAGTCCATGCCCCTCATTAAGTCACTTTAATGTGGTTGTTTATCAGTAACCTGTTCTGTTCAGCGGCACACAGCAGTGCTACGCAGTAGTTTAGAACAGAAAGTGAAGACTCCTGCAATTCTGAGTCCTCAGGGGAAGCGAGGTAGGTCCTGTGCAACTCCCTAGGCCAGACTTTGTCTATAGGCTTAACCAATCTCCTCTTAAAGCAAGTGCTCTGAGAGTGGGTAGCTGTAAGGTTATCCGAAATACAGCATCCCACAAGCACCTTCCCTTAAAGCAACTTGTGGACATTGCTGTTTCAGAAGAGCCCCAGTACTGCTTCCTGCTGCACATGCAGGAATATGCAGAGGTTCTTGAGCTGTGACAGGCTGGTGCGCAAAATCAGAGCCGGGTTAAGAGAAGAGAATCTGCAGCAGGGTTGGGAGTGTGTGTTTGCGCATAAATCTCCGTTAAAAACTGATCTACAGTTTTACAAAAGCAGGAAGAGGAGTGGTTGAGCACACTAGCTAAACATCAGCCTGGCTGTCCCTGCTTGGCTGAGTACATCGCATGGAGTCCTAACTTGAAGTCAGGCGGCTCCAGGCTATTAACAATACTCAGACTCCTTAGTGACTTGGGCCTCTGTATTTTATGCTGATTATTTGGCATTTAAAGACTTGCTGTGGCTCTGTTTTAGGGAATATTTGCTCAGGTTCTTTTCTATTTTGATGCAGGTGTCATAAAGCAACCCTCCATGCTTTTAAGTAAAGAGGAATTTTATTTTATTTTAAAATTTTATTCCTTTTCTCTTGCAGGAAAAGATCACTGCCCTTATTCAATGCTATTAATGACTGAGCTTGAAAGCATCTTTTGTTGAACATACATTCGGTCCTGATATATTTTCTTTGTCCCCTGCCTCAGCTCTACTCAGAGATGCAGGGCTTGTCATACAAAGGGTTTTACATATGGCTGAACACTTGCCACACGTAACAAGGACACTTTGAGTGAACAAGGGAAAGTATTTCCCTCCCAGATATATTCTGTCCTGCAGGATCATGTACAGAGAAAAAGATAGGTCTTGTTAAAGCACAAGATTGGGGGGCAAGATTTGTGTGGCACTGCAGGCAAGCTAAGTGGTCCCTCTAAATATTAATGCTAATTAGTACCTCTAAGTAACAGTGCTAATTAGGCCAAGGAACATTTTTTTCCTGGGTGCCAAAGGAACAAAGTACTCTACCCTGAAATGATTTCCTAAGAGGTATTCTCTCTTTGCATAGTTATTCGAAGTACCGTATTGTGCCCTCATCATGTTTCTCAGCTCAGACCAGAAGGAGAGAGATTCTGCAACGGCATACCGTGAGTTTGACCTGGGCTTGTTTGGAATTTGGGTGCTTGAGTTTTATTTAAAATTACTCTTTCTGAAAGGAGGAGGGAGCCTTTTTTGTGGCCTAATATTGCATTTCTAGATAAAGAATCAGTGACTTCTGGTGGAAAAATGGAGCATTGTGGGAGTTCATCATACATATTTCCATCTCTTTGTACAGACAGACATGACTATTTTGTCACCACTAGTCTATCTGATTAGCTACAGACTTCCCTTCCAGTTCACAAGTTAGCTGCAAGAAGCAGTAAAAAACTTTTATTTAAAAGTTGATTCTGGATTTCTAGTGGTTGCCAGGGGAGCAGTGGTTTCTATTTATAGGTGAATTGCAGAGGGGGGGAAAAAAGGATCTTTTTTCATATGATATTGAAAAAGGTCTGAGAGTCATTTTTAAGCACTTTTCCTATTTTGCTTTTTCTGCAATTAGGAATTAAGGTCTTTTCTAATCCATTTTTCCCTCCTGAAAGACAGGGTAAGCATCACAGAAGCAACCTGATTGAAAAGAGAAGGATTTTTTTCTGGTACTCCAGATGTGGTCTCACTGGTGCCGAATAGAGAGGAAGAATCACTTCCCTCAATCTGCTGGCAACACTCCTACTAATACAGTGCAATATGCTGTTAGCCTTCTTTGCAACAAAATATAAACTGCTGGTTTATATTCAGCTTCTTGTCTACAGTAAGTGCCAGGTCCTTTTCTGCAGAGCTGCTGCTTAGCCAGTCAGTCTCCAGTCTGTAGCAGTGCATGGGATTCTTCCATCCTAAATGAAGGACTCTGCACTTGTCCTTATTGAATCTCAGGAGATTTCATAGTTTCATAGTTTTAGGGTCGGAAGGGACCTAATAGATCTTCTAGCCCGCCCCCCCGCCAGGGCGGGAGAACAACAAAAGAACCCTAAACAAAAAACGGGACTCAAATGAGTCCAGCCAGGTAGGTATCCAGCCTCTTCTTAAAGATCCCCAGGGTAGGGGCCAGCACCACCTCCCTTGGAAGTTGGTTCCAGCTCCTAGCCGCCCTAACTGTGAAGTAGTTTTTTCGGATGTCCAATCTGTACCTCCTCTCCATCAACTTGTGCCCATTACTCCTTGTTATGCCAGCGGGGGCTAGGGGAAACAGCGTCTCCCCCAAACCCTTCTGGTTCCCCCTAGTGAGTTTATAGACGGTCACCAGGTCCCCCCTCAGCCTTCTCTTGTGGAGGCTGAATAGGTTCAGGTCCCGCAGTCTCTCACTGTAGGGTCTGCCCTGTTGTCCCCGGATCATGCGGGTGGCCCTCCTCTGGACCCTCTCCATGTTGTCCACATCCCTCCTGAAATGGGGCGCACAGAACTGGACACAATACTCCAGCTGCGGCCTGACCAGCGTCGCATAGAGGGGGAGGATCACCTCCCTGGCTCTACTCGAGATGCACCTGTGGATGCACGACAAGGTCCGGTTAGCCCTGCCAACCATGACCTCGCATTGTCGGCCCATGTTCATCTTGGAGTCAATAATGACACCAAGATCCCTTTCCGCCTCCGTGCTCTCAAGTAGGGAGTTCCCCATCGTATAAGTGTGCTGCTGGTTCCTACTACCCAAGTGCAGCACCCTGCACTTGTCTGTATTGAAACACATCCTGTTCCTGTTTGCCCACCCCTGTAACCTATCCAGATCCTTCTGCAATCTCTCTCTCCCTGCTAGCGTGCTCACCTCCCCCCAAATTTTGGTGTCATCAGCGAATTTAAACAGGTTGCTTTCCACCCCAACATCAAGATCGCTGATGAAGAAATTGAACAGAAATTGAACAACCAAATTTCTTTTGGTCCAGTCCTCCAATTCATCTAGATCTCTCTGAATTCTAGCCCTCTCCTCCTGTATATCTACTACTCCACCAGCTTAGCATCATCCACAAACTCCTCCATCCCATCTTTCAGATCACTGATGAAGATACAGAAGAAAACTGACTCCAGGACCTACTGCTGGGGCACTCCACTTGATACTGGCTGCCAACTAGACATCAAGCGATTGATTACTTCCCTCTGAGCCCAACAATCCAGCCTTTTATCCATCTTACAGCCCATTCATCCAACCCATACTTTCTTAGTTTGCTTGCAAGAATGACGTGGAAGACCAAAACCCTTGCTAAAGTCAAGGTACACCACATTGAGTGCTCTCCCTGCATCCACAGAGCCAGTCATCTCATCAAAGAAGACAATCAGGTTGGTCAGGCATGACTTGCCCTTGATGAATCCATGCTGACTGTTCTTGAACAAGTCCTCCAGCAAAACCAGACAGGAATTGTTCCTCCTCTTGTTCTGAAATAAAAGGGTGGAAAAAAGTTCTTTAAAATCTTCCTTATGACTTCTTTACAAAGGTTTATCATAAAAAGTGGAAAAGGAAACAGATCACTTATTTCACACTTTCAACTGCTAGCTTTGAAGTAGTCTCTCCTTCTCTTCCACATCCCCACCATTGTAATCACTTGTGTCATGGTCTACAGCAGAGGTGTCAAACTGATTTGGCCTACTGGAGTGGATCTGAACTGCAGGTATCCTTGTAGGCTGGATATGGACCTGCAGCATTAACCCCCTTGGGGACCTGAACCTCTGTGTTGGCTCAGGGAGCCGCAGAGGTTAATGCCGCCACTATTCACCCCACTAAATTCCTGGCCCCTCCAAGAGCCCCGTGGGCCAGATGACACAGCTCTGTGGGCTGGATCTGGCCTATATCATATGCTTTTGACACGCCTGCTCTACAACAATGAAAGTGAAGAGAAATAACTGCTATTTGCCTTTGCTGTATTTTCCAAACTATTTGACAAACTGTGTTAAGACTTTGCTTCTCTTTCAGTGTTCCCTTCTGGCAAGAGGCAGTCTTCCTCCACTTGTCAGTCTAACCCTTAATTCACTGGCTTGAATAAAGGCCAATTGAAAAAAGATATTTAGATACGACCTCCTATTCAACTACTAATTCAAGTTCCTAATCAACTACTGATTTCCGTGGGAGTTTAAATGTTTACGTAGCTTTTCAGATCTGACCCTAAAGCCCCTGGCAAACTGGTTAATCACATCTTAAGTAGTAAGCCAGGCACATATTCATGCAATTAATGGTGTCATAAAATGGGGAATAAGCCACAAAGCTACATGTGTAATAACTTTGTGGCTGGTTCCCGTTACACTGTCAAGACCCCAGAGTGCCAGTCAGCTGATCAGTGCTCCTGACCCCAGGAGTGCATCAGAGTCTTGAAGGGCTCCAGTGCACTCTCAAGGCTGGGAGCACTGGTCAGCTGACTGACACTGGGAGCACTGGTCAGCTAACTGGCATGCCGAGCCACGGAAGCACTAGACACCCAGCTTGCTACCTGCTGGTGCAGGGAGAGCCTGAGATCATAATCACGATCTACAAACTACAGGCCCATCAGCCTGACCGTTATCCTGGGGAAGGTCTTAGTAAAGGATTATCAAAGAGGCCATCCTTAACAGACTAGCTGAAGGCAATATCCTGAGGAATACCTAGTACGGGTTTGTTGCAGGTAGGTCTTACTTGACCAATCTCATTTCCTTTTATGACCAGGTAACCTATCACCTGGACAAGGGGAAGAGATTGATGTCATATATCGTGACTTTAAAAAAGCCTTTGATCTCGTATCCCACTATCACCTCTTGGCTAAACTGGCTAGCTGCGGCCTCAACCTCACCACAATCCACTGGCTGGGGAATTGGCTCTGCAGTAGGACCCAGAGGGTGGTGGTCAACGGGAGCCAATCGTCTTGGTGCGCAGTCACCAGTGGGGTCCCTCAAGGCTCTGTCCTTGGGCCTATACTCTTTAACATCTTCATCAGTGATGTGGACATTGGTGTCAGAAGCAGACTGGCCAAGTTTGCCGATGACACCAAACTCCGGGGACAGGAGGGTGCCCACACCTAAGGACAGGAGGGTGCTCCAGGCAGACCTTGACAGGCTCATGAAATGGGCGGACGAGAACCTGATGGTGTTCAACACCAAAAAATGTAAGGTTCTCCACCTTGGGAGGAAAAACCTGCAGCATCCTTATAGGCTTGGCAGTGCTACACTGGTTAGCACTACAGATGAAAGGGACTTGGGGGTCATGATTGACCACCAGATGAACATGAGCCTTCAGTGTGATGCTGTGGCTAGTAAAGCGAGCAAAACTCTGACTTGCGTCAATAGACGCTTCTCAAGCAAATCCCGGGACATCATTCTCCCGTTGTACTCGGCCTTGGTGAGGCCGCAGCTGGAGTACTGCGTCCAGTTTTGGGCTCCACAATTCAAAAAGGATGTGGAGAAGGTTGAGAGAGTGCAGAGGAGAGCCACACGCATGATCAGAGGTCAGGAAAACAGACCTTATGAAGAGAGGCTGAGAGCCATGGGACTCTTCAGCCTGGAAAAGCACAGGCTCAGGGGTGATCTGACGGCCACCTATAAGTTTATCGAGGTGTTCACCAGGATCTGGGGGAACGTCTGTTCACCAGAGCACCCTAAGGGATGACAAGATCAAACGGTCACAAACTCTGCCGCGACCGATTCAGGCTGGACATAAGGAAGAACTTATTTACTGTCTGAGCCCCCAATCCCTGGAATAGACTGCTGCCGGAGGTGGTTCAAGCACCCACTTTGAACGCCTTCAAGACACATTTGGATGCTTATCTTGCTGGGATCCTATAATCTCTGCTGACTTCCTGCCCCTGGGGCAGGGGGCTGGACTCTGATCCTCTAGGGTTCCTTTCAGCCCAAATGTCTATGAAATTGCCCACTTGGGAAATCTTCGGGTCGCATGCACCGGCAATAGGACATGATTGGTGTCTGATCCCCAGGCCCACAGTTGTGCCGCCTGCCATGCACATGTGGCACGCCAGGAGGTGTGCTTATTGGGATGATGGATCAAATCCCACCGCACCTTAAATTGAACATTGTCAGCAGTCTCAGTAAGGAGCAAAACTATGTAAGCACAGTGTTATGGCCAATGTGTTGAACAGATACATGTGAGAAATTTCAGATGTAGGATTCTTCAGGCAACCGTAAATCTTCCCTGCCATGTGGTATGTGTGAATTCTTTCATATTCACTACTGTTTCAAGAACTGTGATATCCTGTCCATTTTAAAGAACAAAACTAGAAACAGGGGAATCAGGAGCTCTGTCACAATCTGAGAGAGAGAAGAGAAGAGATTTTTAATCAGTGATCTTTGGTTTACCCATCTCTGAGTTTATTGTGGTATCTCATGGGTGTGATATTACAGTCTCATTGATGTTTTTGAGCTCTTTAGCTGAAAGGCACTCAGTACATCTAGTGTTGTTTTATTGTTTAGGAATAAGGTTAACTTAAGTCCATCTAGTTAGGCAGCACAAACAAGTTATGATGGTTGGTGTGAATTTTCTGACTTGTTTCTCTTGATTATTATCCAAAGAAGCTAGTTTATCAGTGACTCTTTATTTCTGTAATGTAAATCTGCCGTGTATTAATTGATAAACACTTGTTTTGAAGGAATAGGGAGTCTACTATCCTCCCTAAATTGGGGCACACCTGCTTAACCGCTTCAGAAGTTTTATGTGTTGGAATCCAGGCTTCTCTTCCACCCAGGAGAGCACACAGCACACCACCAGACTCTCCCTATGCCTGAAGAAGTGTGTTTGTGCCCAAACGTTTGCAAAGAAGAATTTTTCCAACTATCTAGTTGGTCTAATAAAAGATACCACATTTACCCAAAGAGCCTTGTCTGCAGGTGACATTATGAGTCTGGTGGGAGTCTGGGAAAATATTTCAAAACTCTGATGAGAAAGAAAAATAGGCTTCCTGTGTTTTGGGGTATCTTAACCACTTCTGGCTCCCCCAAATACCAGAGTTTGTGAGCATCTCACCGTATTTAATGTATTTCTGCTCACAGCACTCCCATTTTATTGATGTACAGAAAGAATAAGGCCCAAATCCTGTTTCGCTGAAAGATGTCTACATGTTATTTATGCTTCTAAATGTGGCCATGTAAGGTCACTCAGGCAGTTTGTGGCAGAACAGAGCATTGAACTCGAGCCTGTGTCTACTGGGCTAATGGCTGAACCCTCTCTCCTGGGAGAGAGGAGCCCTGGTTCTGCTCGCAATGTGGCTTGTGTGTTTTGCATGAAATAGTCATTTAATAAAATGCATGAACATGAAATGGGAGCAGGGAACATTAATGTTGGTCTGATGTAGGAAAATATTATTTCATAAAATCATAAGAATATAAGAAATGCCATTTACCAAGTCAGACCATAGGTCCATCAAGCCCAGTATCCTGTCTTACACAGTGGCAGAGAACGGATGCTGAAGGGGAGGGTGGATAGGACATGCCCACCCCCTGCCCCTCTCCCATCGCAGCTTCCAGTACTCAGAGGTAGAGGAAGTTCTAATTCAGAGGCTGTACCCTACCTACCACGTTCAGTATCTACTAATGGACCTTTCCTCCAAGAATCGATCCAATCCCCTTTTGAAGTAGGTTAAGCTCCCAACTTCTGCAGCATCTTGTGGCAATGAGTCCCACAAGTTAATTACTCACTGTGTGGAAAAGAACTTTCTTTTTGTTAGTTTTAAATCTGATATGCAATAGTTTCATTTTATGTCCCCTAGTTTTAGCATTGTGAGAGGCAGTGAATAATACATCCCCACTTACTTTCCCTGCACCATTTCATATTTTGCAAACCTGTCATGTTGTTCCCCCCCACCCTACACAAGTGTCTCTTTTCTAAGCTGAAAAGTCATAGCCCATTTAGTCTCCCCTCATATGGAGGCCCATCCATGCCCCTGTTTATTCTTGTTGCCCTTTTTTGTTCCATTTTACAGTTGGAGAAATAAGGCACAGAACAGGTAAGAGACTTGCAAAAGCTCTCACAGACTGAGTTGGGCCAAGGATTAGAAATCTGCTACCCCAGTTCTCTGTGCTTAGAAGAGTCCTAGGAACATTTAAGCTCTAGTTCAGCTGCGGTCTCAAGATGTGAAAGGTTACTGCACTGTTCCTTTGCCACTTAACCCTCCCCTTGTAGATTATACAGTATCAATAAAAGGTGATGGGGGAGACAGAATTTCCTTTTCATCCAACTGTTGTGTAAGCACCATTCTAGATGTGCCAGGTTTGGTGGTGCTATTGTGCATATCCCCCATAAAAAGAACAGTTTTCTTCAGTGAGTTCACTCTTTAGCGAGGAAAAACATCAGGCTCACTAATAAGCTTCCCCCCTAACGCGCCTTTGTGCTTCTTATTATAGGAATGACTATGGAAGTCCTTGGCACCCTGATTGGAGCCGCGCTCCAGGGGCAGATTGTGGCAAGTGCTCATGCCTCTGATCGTTGTACTGTGAATCGCACTGCAAACACAACCGAGTATCTTCAATCCCTACACAACATTTCCAGCTTTCCTGAGCCCTTGGGCTTCCTGTCTCACGGGGTAAGTGCATACGCAGCTGGCATTCCTAGGGGAGGGGTTTTTCAGTGGTGTCCCTTTTCATCAACTTGCAGGGTGTACCCGAGTCTGGCTCGGCTGATATTAGTGACATCAGAACCACGACAGCTGCCTTGTTGTGGGCAGCCCCCCATCTGGTCTTTCTTTGACTGCTCCTCAGCATGACAGCAACATTATAACAAGGAGCTTGCAGAAGATGCTGGTTAAGAGGCGTAGGGCCACCGTCTCTCCTCCCTGCAGGCTGACTTGCTGTTTAAAATACAAGTCTAATTAGCAAAAAATAATTATTCAGAGTGGCTGCTTTCAGCCCAGCTGCACAGGATACATTTTCAATGCAGTAGCTGGGGAGTTAGTTTTCGAGTTCCCCCAGTAAAGACAGTGGCATTTGCCTTCCTAAAATCCTACACAGCTTTGAACTTTTATCCTTGCCAGGGTGTGACTGGTGGGAGTATGGAGAGGGCATTAATGCCATTCTAGTGCAGGGATGGCTTTGTAGTTAATGCGTAGAGGAGGATTTGAAAGATCTGGTTTCTGTTCCTTTTTCTACCATAGTCTTTCCCTGTAACCTTGGGGAATTCGCTTAGTAGGTGTGTGCTTCAGTTTCCCATTTGCGGAGATAAGGAGGAAGTATTGTAGATGAGGGGGTTTATGTCTCTTCTTCAGGGTTATTAGTGAAACCATGAACCATTGTTATTAGTACGAGCCATTATTATTAGTCCTTTCCAGGGGGCACTTTAACAAAACACACAAGACTATTACTTCTGTCTTCCTTGACTTAGAGTTGGCCTTTGCTCACATCACCAAACTGCTGCACAACTGGCATGCGGGTACTCAGGAAGTGTTTGGGAGAGGAATAGCTAAGAGTGTTATCTGTTGAGATTTGAAATGCATTGGCAGCCCTTGTACAGACTACTCTTTACTGTTCCTTCCTTGGTTAATGCTGCTGTTTCCTCCCTTTTCCAAATCCCCTAAACAGCACTGGGGGAAACTAGTCTTAAAAAGAACAAATCTGAAATCACATCTCAATGATGTGCATGGGCATCACGTGTGTATTTTGGGGGCAAGCAGTGTTGTGTAGTAGAGATGTATATTCTGATAATACATCCTAAGCATAATTCAATCCTGACTAAAGAATAACCTTACATTCTTTCACACAGCCAGGGATCTTTCTAAAAGAGAAATATCTTACAAAGTTTGTTTTCTTGAACCAAAGATGGTCTGTACCAAGCTATTCTCATACAAAGGGAGGGGGGTGTTTTTTTTAAGAGACTTCCTTTTTGCTTGGTTGCATTTTTATTAAGCAGCTCTTAGACTTAGAGTCTGCTCTTATACTTGCAATTATAACTACTATAAGTAGTTTGTAAACAGCAAAAATTTCTAAAACCAACCTTTCAAAACAAAGAATAAAAGAAAAATATAATAGAATATGAACCAGAAATATGAGTTTCAAAGCTTTATACTGGGACCGTTGTAGATGCAGTTGGAGGTGATCATTATGATTTTGTGGCTCAGTAGTTGGCTTCCTCTTTGACACTGCTGTTATTGGTTTACAGAAAGCAGAGACTTTCTAAGAATTTCCATAATTAGCTCAAACATTTCACTAAATAAAAAGCTGAAAACATATGTATATGAACTATCAGATTCTCCAAGCGTAATGTATATGTATGACATTATTATAAGCATCTCCTAAAACGCAGTCAGGGCAAAGACAAGATCTTGTTAATAAAATTATTACATTTCTGCTTATGCTGTTAACAATATTTCGCATCTTTATTGAGATATGAAGGTGCTGGCTGCAGCCTGCTGGCTATAAAACATGTAGTTAGGTTAATTCGCTTTGCAGAAATTCAGAACTATCCTCTGGGTACTGCCGGTTTCTGACAGGTAAGTGTACACATCTATGACTAGTCTCAACATTGCCTGTTTTTTAAACACATTCTGGTTGCTGACATACTAGACCTTTTGTCCAGAACTGTTTATATTTTGCTAGAAATGTATACATGTGGGTCCTGGATTTATCCTGATGTAAATTTAATTTATAAATGGCCCGCAGAAGTGAACATTTTTCACACAAAAAATGAAGAGCAGGCTGCTGACTTTACATATCTGGGAAGTTCTCCAATTGTAGCTGACTCACCAAAGAGAGACCAGGACTTTCAGTGCCAGCTAGTTATTCTCACTGCTGTAATATTGAGGTCCAACAGAAAGAAACTGATTTTTTTCTTTGGTGGCTACCTGGCCCTTCCTGATAGTGTATTGAGATGTATCAACCCTTTGCTTATATAGCCACCATTACAGTAATCCCTGAGCATTGCCCACTTGAACGTACGTGTTTTCACCACATTTCCTAACGATAAGGTAAGAAAGTGCTGCTGACCCCATTTTACACATGGGAAGCTAAGTTATGGGAAAACTAAACAACTTGAACAAGGATGTCTGTGTTAGAGCAGCGACTTGAACCTGCATTTCTCAGGTCCTAACCTAGCATCCTAACCTGTACACCAGTCTTTCTCTTCACTTGGGAGTTTTAACTTGGAAAAGTTTGAAACTGGTCACTTTAAAACAACCAGCCATGTTAGTAAAATCGTCTCAAGGGGAAATAGTCAGTTTTGAGAGAGCCAGGGGTTCCCGCAGCAGTTGGAGTTTGCTGCTCTGCCTTTATTAACTATGCTAGCACTAATGTCCTGTCCTAATGGTCACCCCTGATTTGATATTTTACACTGTAGCTGTTGGTTCACGTCTGTCAAAGCAGATCTTCTACTGGCATCACTTGAAATGTGGCTTTTTTTCCTTTTAAAGGCTAAAGTCTATATGATTGCAGCAGGAGTAATAGGAGGGGTGTATCTACTGGGGACTGTCATCCTTTTTAGTGGAGTAAAGGAAAAGGACGGTAAGTTATGTTTAAATGTGTCTGGGTTTCAAAGTGATTCTTTCCCATTTAACTTTGGAAAATATTACATTATTTTATGTATTCCACCCCTTGTAGATCCTTACGCCTTAAATTCAGACAAAGCGATTCCTTTCTTTAAGGGACTCAGACTCACAATGAAGCACGGGCCGTACATAAAACTTACAGCTTCATTTCTTCTCATCTCGACAGCAGTTCAGGTAACTTCAGCCTTAAACCCAGGTGAGGCTTGTTCCAACCACAGCATGAAACAGTCTTCAGGTGCTAAAATGTAAATGGCCTTTGACTTGTAAGCTGGGTTAGTGATTTGGTAGGTAACGTGTTTCCCTTCTGAGTCAGTATTGAACCAGTGCCCCACTTTGGTACTAAGGGGTACTGTACTGCTGGAGGTGATTGCCTTTCAAACAAGGAATAAAATTAAGATCCTAACCATTTATCATGAAAGATTTTGTGACTCTTTTCATAAAAGGTGGGATGCTGGCCCCAGTGACCCAGTTTAGGTCATTATACTCCACCTACCTCTAATTCCCTACTGTTTTGCTTGGCTCGAGAATACTTTATTTCTCTCAAAGCTGTTCTGCAGCTTTAAAACATTACCTTCGTTCCTTTTCTTAGGCGACTTCTGTAATAGTGACCACGATGGTTCCTATAGAGTAATTTGGGATGGAAGGCACTATGTAAGTGTAAGATGATATTCAGTTACTTTGGAGTAAAGTATAAACTCTGCTGTAACTAGAGCCACAGAATTCAGATCTGAATCAGCAGTCATATTTCTAACCTCCCAAACTAGTACAATAGGTTATCATTACACTGAGAGATGCTGCATAGAAACTGAAAATGAAAAGTTTGTAAGCCCATATTTCCTAAAGCCCAAGTGATGTTTTGACCCAGGATTTCAAGACATACTCATCTGTGAGGATCGTCATTAGGGTGGGTTTGTTATCTCGATCTTCAGTTTCCTATTTTAAAAAGTACATAATATCTACGTTTTTGTCACCAACCCGTTAGTCACTGTTGATCACAACCAGCGATGTGGCACCATGATACAAATCATAATGTAATGTGTACTTTAGTTGCCCTCTGTCCTGGAGAATAAATAAATAAGAGGTATAATTTCTCCATGGCTTTTACTTATAGCATGGAAATGTGAAAATATGTTGGCTGAGAAATTTCCAAGTTTCTTTTTGACACAGATTTGAATCCAGTTAGCAAATACCAAATATCCTGCTCTTTGGTGCATTTGATTGTCTTGACTTGAGGAAAAGCCTTGAGAGTAAGTGACAATAATATAAGCACTTCTCACATCAAGACAAAAAGAAAGGCAAGTTTATGACAGGTTCCTTGGGATTGCAGACCCTTCCAGCACTGAATCACCCAGCGTGGCATAGCGGGCATGGCACACAGTTGGCTACTTGCTGAGAATACCCAGGAAGGAGAAGATTCACTCTGGGACCATCTCACAATCTCGGGTCACAAGGAAGTGGAGGGGAGGGGTTGAAGAGGGGGCTGACAACAATTGAGAGGTCTCTTGCTCCAAATGGGCTGGTATGTGTAGGAGTTGCTGTTGTCTGCCTGGGGCTACTAGGTTTTGGGGAGTTTGGCTGGAATGAGGGCGATCAATGAAGAGCTAGACGCAGGGCAGTAGAGTTTTGTACCTGAAATGAAACAATGGATTGTGGCGCACGCTCAGAAAGGCAGTGTTGGGGGAGCCTCTCTCCATGACTGTCTGGCTTAATTTTTAAGCAGGTCCTTCTCTTAATGTATAATCTGTTAGCCCTCAAAAAGGTGCCATGCACAAATCAGATAGTCATCTAAGCCTTCGACTTCCCCAAAACAGTACATCCTAGGCCTGCACCAGACCTTGGGATCCTAGTCCCACTAGATAGCTGTGTTCAGTAGCTGGCCTTCCTCTCAGCCCAGCTTTCCTTGGCATAGTTCCTATGATGTCAGCAGTGTTATTCCTCATTTAAATTGGTGTAAGTTAAAGCAGAATTGAGCCCTTAATGACTTGATTACCAATTTTGTGAAATTGTAAAAACCTTTTGTTTGGTTTTTCTTTGTTGATTCTTGCCATCTTCAATTCACCAGCTTGAGCAGAGCAACTTTGTCCTGTTTTGTACCCACATGACTGAGCTTCGCAACAGCTTCCAGTATTTAGTGGTGACCATCTTGGTGAGTTGAACTGAGAAGACAGAGCGTTGGTTTAGCTGCAGGGTTGCACTCTGTTTCTGTATTCAGTAGAAAGGGCACAGAAGACAAGAACAGTTGCACCCAGGCAGCTCGGAGAGACATGACTGCAGATTACTACCACAACTGCTGGGCTTTCTGTGCGAATGGGTTTGATCTCCATGCTGTCACTAGTGGACATTGTGACTTGTAAATTTGAAGATCTCCTAATTTATTCCGTGGTCCTTACCTGCAGGCTGCTTTCTGCTCCTGAAAAGGTGAAACCTTCTGCTTGAAAGGAGCGGTGGACTTTTAGCTACTGTTTCCCTTTCCCCAGCTGACATGCTAAGAATTAAAACAAGTTCCTCTTGTGTGTGCTGACATGTGGACCCCCCATGCCAGGCAGCCTGCAGGAATAAATATTTAAAATATCTAGAGACACATCAGCAAATGCTTGAAAGATACCTTTACAGAGCCCTCTGCCTCCACACTTGAGTGTGGGGTTCTGCCCAGCTTCACATAGGTGGGTGGTCCCCTCATAATTGGGTTACAAATATCATGCATGCCTGGCTTTGAGCTTAAGCTACAAGAAACTGCTCCATTCTGATTAAAGTTCTTCTAGGGCAAATGGTAGGTTTAATGTTAAATAAGTGCTGGGGTATGTCTGCTGCATGCTTTTTACATACTTCATGGAGACTTCCCGTTCAGTATCTTGCTCATTAAATACTCTACCAGTCTTTGTGCCAGGAACTGCAGATTGCTGACAGTGCAGGGACTGTGCAGAGCTATTTGATAGGACTATTCATGGTTTCTAATGTAGGTTCCCACCTCCTTCCTTTTCAACTCTTTTGATTCTTCTTTTCTTACCTTAAAATGCTTCCAGGGCAGATCTTTGTCAGTGACTAAAACTAATAAGGGTGTAGAGCAAGAGATCACTTTCACATATCTGAGATCCTGCAGGTAATGAAAAGATATAAACACCAAGGTGGGAGGAGGATTGTTGGGATGATATGGGATGTAATTGGGAGCAACAGGATGATATTTAGGCTCAGATCAGTTGTAGTATTGTATGTGGAAATTGTGTAGTTCGGTCTTCTTTTATAACAATGTTGGGTTTAAATCAGCTATAACAGATGAGGTAGAATGCGCTATGTATGAAGTATTAACAAAATTGGCAGGGGGATGGACTGAACAGCTGAACAAGTCATATCTAGCTCTAACGTCTAGCATTTTATACTAAGTAAAGGAAAACTGAAGAAAACTATCAGGAGAAAATTTCTGATCTGAAAATGATTTCAAAAGTAGAAGGTGCATAGGTTGTAGCCATGTTGGTTTAAGGACATAGGCAGACAAGGTTCTTTGGGTAAACCTGATATCTTTTATTAGACCAACTCAAATAGTTGGAAAAATTCCTCTTAGCAAGCTTTCGGGCACAAACACCCTTTGTCAGGCTGAGGAAACATTTGCAGATGGTCTGTGCTCTTCCTGGATGGAGTGGTAAAGCAGCCAGAGGCCAGTATGTATACAAGAAAGCCAGTCAGTTAAATGTAAATTAAGGTGGTCAAAGGTAAAATAATCTTTTGAACATGGTTACACCTGTGACATCTTACAAATGCCCTAGATTGATCCCTGGGGAAAGTGTGTTGTATTCTTTTTTATTTAATTAGTACACTGCCTATTGCACTGGGGTTTTGTGTGCTTATGTGCAGTGGGGAGTTTTAGCTTACGTACTTATAATTTCTCCAATTTCTTTTTTCCATCATTCTTGTTTTTCTTAGTGGGAAAGAGAGCAGGAAGCCTTAAATTCTTCCTTAGTTCAGATCTTTTGCACAAAACAGTAGAGGGTGTTGGTGGGCCCTGTAGCTTACTCAGACGATGATCTTAATAAATACCCTACAAATCTTGTTTGCATCCTTTGCAGGTGTCAGCAGCAGTGAGCATTCCCTTCTGGCAGTGGTTTCTGCAGCACTTTGGCAAGAAAAGTGCAGCATGTGGGATTTCGGTAAGCAAAAATGTTAGAAAACCCTGTTGGTGCTGCATTTTACATGACCAACAGTAGCAGTTTCTGCAAAATTTGGGCAATGAGACCTCAAACCAAGGACATTTTTTCTTGCTTCAAGGTTTGTTTAAAACCTATAAAACATGTATGTTATTGGCAGGTTGTAGGTTTTGCTTCTTGGAGATTGGGCTGGTGCTGAATATGAGATGCCAACTTTTCCCCAAGTTTGAGCAGGTTCTACATTGTGCCCATTTCACAGAAAAGAATTCGAGCATAATATTACAGATTCTGATCCAGGCTGCCCCAAATCCAAGGGTTACATGTTGTTTGAGGTTTGGATCCATCTCTATTATGGCCAATATATGGTTCTTACTTGAACCAAACAAAATTGAGCAGTTTAGGTAATTGAACCTGTAACTTAGTTTAAGGAGGAGGGAGTAGCAAAATTCCTCCTCTCTGTCCAGTGAAAGGACGTGGAATTGTCCATGTTTTCCGTCTGTATGAAACTTCTTAAGTTCTGTGAAAGTTTGAATAACACCCCAAAAAGTTCAGGTCTGGTAACAGCCATTGTATGCTTTGAACAGCAACAGTTTATTGAAACTGCAATCTGTGTGTGACTTCAAAACAAAACTCTGGATCCAGACGTACCACATCTTTAGATAGGTTGAAATATGCGCTTGGACGTGGCATGTCCCACCTGTTTCTCCCTCTCATCAGCATTCCAGCACAGATAGCTGCCAGAAGCTAAGATGGGCCCTGAAGGAGCACAGATTTACCTCCCAGGCTGTCAGCTTCTGTTGCACCTTCCTTATCCCTTTTCACTCGTATTGTGGGAACAATATCACTTCACTCAGTGCTCTTGTGTTTCTGCCATTTGTTTTTTCCTTGAGAGTTTCACCTCTTTTAAGGGTGGAAGGAGTACTACATACTTATTTGAAAATGGGTTGATTTTCTGTAGACTCTGTAGACTTAATATTCTCATTAAATTAATACCAAGAGACACCTGAAAGTAAAGCATTCAGACAAGATATGTGGGTATCACAGATTTATTTTTATGCCAGTGGTGGGACACACACTCCTTTTCTCCCACTCCTCCTTAGTTTTGGTTGGAGGAGATGGTTCAGTGGCCTAAGTATCAGTACCAACATAATCTAAACTTTGTGAGGCAGCAGGGTTCAAACCCCAGCAGGATCATGCTGTATTATCCTTCCTGTGCCCAGAGTTGGGGTATAGGATAGAAACTAGCTGCAACATCTGTCTGCTTTATGTTGTTGAGATCAAGTGCTCAGCCCTCATGGGGCATGTCTACACAAGCAAATGCTGCTGGATGGGTTTACTCCAGAGTAAACACACCCTGGGCAGGAGTCTACATGTGTGCGCATTTGGGAGAAGATTTGCTTCCACCCTGCTCTGCTCCCCTGCAGCAGCCAGAGGGGGCTCCAGGCTGCTCCTGGTTGCTAGCCCAGGGGCTAGCAAGGAGCAGGGGGCCAGGAGACAGCTGTCTCCTGGTGGGGACTGGGAGATTGCTTCCTGCTCCATGCCTGCTGCTGGGGCAGGATCCAGTGGCAGAGTCCAGGCTGGACCAATGTACTACAGCCCTGGCTCCCCAATCAGGGGCAGGGGGCTTGGAAAGAGCTGCGGGGGAGGGTCAGGTCCCAGCCCCCTGCCCTTACCTGTTGGTGGAGCAGCTAGCAGTGAGCCCCTGGCTCCATGATCACGGAACGGGGGCTGGGAACTCCCTGCTGCCAGGGCAGGGGGAAATTGTCCCTGCCCAGGCTCTACCACCTTAGCCCACCCTAGCAGTAGGCAGCTCCCGGGGGCCGGGAGCAATCTCCTGCTGCCCGGCTGACCAGGAACAAATTTACTCTTGGTCAGTCGTCTACATGTGCCTTACTGAGCAGTAATTACTCAGCAGTGAATTTGCTACTTGCATTTGCTAGGTACCTTGCAAATGCAGGTAGCAAATTCACTGCTGAGTAGAGCAAATGACTGCGCAGTACGGGTCTGCACGTGTAGACGGTGATGCATACTGTGCAGTCATTTGCTGTACTGCGCAGTAAAGTGTCTTGTGTAGACTCGCCCATGTGGAGGCTGATGTGAGGAAATGAAGGTGCCCAAGAGATACCTGAAGTGGTACGATGGAGGTCACCTTTACTCCACATGACTATTAAAGATCTTTATCAGGTACTTTTCATAAGTCCAGTGTCCTTGGCTATCATTTCCCCTCCCTTTGCCCTGCTGTTCCCTGTAGGTCAGTTAAAACCCTTCAGGTCACTGGTGGGCCTGCTTGTCTGTAGGTCACAAAGTGTGTGGTTGTGGAAGGGAGAGGTGTGGGAGGGGGAGTGAGCCACTAGGGACTGAAAAGTCTAATTTATAAAGAAGAAAAACAAAATGCAGTGGACATATGTTACAGTGACTTTTCTGGATCTTAGGGAACTCTGCTCCCAAATACCTCTGCTTCTGCATTATAGCCTCAGGCCGGCTGGTCCTGCCTCGTGCCTCTTCTTCACTACATTTTAAATCAGTGCTGTTATTGTTCCAGAAACCTCTTTGGATACTTTAGTTTCTGAAAGGGTACATGATGCAGAGCACAAATGATCATAAAATTGCTTGCAGTTATATCTTTATACAAGGTATAATCTTGTATTGCTAGAGTGCTCTCTTGTGGGGAAATAACGGTCATGCCACTACAGACTAATGCAGGGATTATCTGTCTGTGCTGGGAATTTGCAGTCTGAAAAGGGACTCTTGCTAAGTTGGGTATCAAATAAGGATGTGATGGGAATACATTTTTTCCAAAATGTGGAGGCTCTAAACTTTGGACTAGCCTGGTGCTCAGGCTGCTGCCTCCCACAGCCACCTCTGTTTTTTAGCAAAACATATATTCTCCATGATGTGCCATATCTTTTCCATGCCTAACACACCATTTTTTTTGTTTTTTCTTTCTTTTTCTCAGTGGATGATCCCGTTCGCAGTCATGCTGGTTACAGTCCCACATCTGAGCGTGGCTTATGTGGTGGCCTTCGTCTCTGGTCTGAGTATTGCAGCATCTTTGTTGTTGCCATGGTAGGAGGATCTAATGCTTGAAGGTCTCCAGGCGGGAAGGGAGGGAGTGTGTGTATTCCCAAATGTAGAGTATGTACCTCAATGAGAGCCAGAATTTGGTAATAAACTGGTATGTGAGCTACATTGGTTTTCACTATATTTAGACGATACCTGTGCGGCCCTGTGACCCTAGTTACAACAGAATTAACAGCTAATGTCTTTATGCATAAACAGAACTGCTCTCGGCGTATAACTGTAAGTGAATTAATACCCTACAACGGCGTGGAACGTGGATAAACAATAAGTTGGTTGCTTGGATTTAATTTTTAAAATGGCAACAGAAATGAGGATGACCCTTAATGCAAATCACTTAGCGAAGTCTTGTGGAGAGTCAACACTGAACTAGAGCTCCCTGCAGAGTGGTTCTGTGTTGCAAAGAAAATGCAGGAGTGCCACGTAAGGGGCCATGGATAAAAGAAACCGATAACCCGCAGGTTCGTGTTTGAAGAGGGGCTTGGAAGTGAATTATTTGATTAAAACCAAGTGAAGAGGTTGCAGAGCTGGATCCCTTCTTGCACATGCCTGGCTTTTGAAATCAACCTGACCACAAAGCAAGATTGAGTCAGGTAGAACAGCCCTTCATGCCTCATAGATGCAGTTCCATGAAAACTGAAGCCTTTTGGGGATTGGGGGTATGTATTCAGGCTGCCCAGACTACCTGAGCTCAGGAACACAACCTGCCCTCCATCAGTAAACTGGTAAAAATGAAACTTGTTGATTTATAGTTGATGTTTTTACCTATTTCCATCCTGCTTTGGATCTGGGTCAGAAGCAGTCTCAAATCAGTGGAAGGACAGGCCCCTTTAGTGTCCTACAACTGCTTCTGCATGCTACCACACTTGAGGTAGTTGCACGATAACACCTCTGGAAAATCCAAGTGGCCCCAAATCCAGCTCGGGTATTCTTGTACGTTATTATCACTGTTATTATTAAAAGTAATAGTATTAAGCAATAACTTGTAATCTTGTGGAAGGGGCTTGGTTACCTTACCTAGGTGTTGTGGTTCTGTGGCCTTGCGGTGTGTTTTGTGCATTTGCTATGACAATTATTGCCCTCCTTTCAAACAAGGGCACCTTCTGGTTTTCCGTATTCCACTCTGTGGTTTACACAATCAAACCTCCAAGGAAAAGGACTCTTTGCCAACTCTGTCCATGAAAGAGGCTCAGACTTCTGCTGGAGGCTGTTCATTCCTCTTCTCTTGCTGGCCTCCAGGTCCATGTTGCCTGATGTTGTTGATCACTTCCGCCTGCTGAATCAACATGTAAAGAGGCCTGAAACCCTCTTCTATTCTTCGTATGTCTTCTTCACCAAGTTGTCAACAGGGATTGGATTAGGAATGTCTTCAGCAAGCCTTGAGTAAGTGATAGTTTGTTTCTGCTTATTTGGCTTTTATTATAAAAAGATTCTGAGGGCCTTCATTTTTTTCCTGTGCGGCTAATCACGATTTCACCACTCACGAAAGCAGGATCCTGGCAGGTATAGATAGACAAGGTTGTCAGTTCGAGTTGACTACATCACGAACCTGCAATTGTTCTCATCCAGGTCAGACCTTCTGGGCAGTGAGACATTTACACTAACATATTTCAATTCAAAAGTAACAGGACTCCTTTTAGATATTCCTTATTTACATTATTTTCATAAATCTCAGCTGCAAATACAAGTGAAGCTTATGTAGACCCCTAGGCACAGAACACAGAAACGTAGCACTGCAGTAACACTGCTGAAGAGCTACAGATCTTTAGGAAGCATCCCATCCCTCAAGGGACAGAAAAATTTAGGTTGGATATTAGGAAGAATTTTTGAGCTCAGAGAGTGGTTAAATACTGATACAGGTTACTAGAGAGGTTGAGGAATTCATATCACTGGACGTTTTTTAAATGGAGATTGCCAAACATTTGGTTTGGAGGGGGCTGATCTTGCCTTGAGCAGGGGGTTGGACGGGATGACCTCCTGTGGTCTCTTCCAGCTGTATTTGTCTATGGGAAAGGGAGCAGAAATGGTCTCTCGTTCTCTGTTTTTACAGAGCCAAGCACAAGGCTTGCAGGGTTTCCATTGACACTGCTAGGTGTTAGTGTGACAGAAATGCTTGTACAGCACTCTGTCTGCAGGGGCAGAAGCTGAACAAATGGAAATGGATTATTATGGAAGAAGAGAAATATTCTCAGTATCAAAAGACCTTTTAGAAATTGTGGCGACCTTTTCAATAGCATGTTTGTGGAACCTACAATTTAAGCTAAGAGTCCAAATCAGTTTTCATCAACTGGAAACTTTTGGTTGAAAATTTCTTTAAAATACTTGTTTTTTGGCTGGCTTTACTCTGAGTTAGGAAGACCACTTTTACAGCAGGCAATCAAGTCCCATTTGGTAACTGTGATTTTAACAGTCTGTCTTCTGCCACTACCGCAATTTGAAGACTGGAGAACCCTAGTAGCATGGTGGCGGGTTGTGGTAGCTCCACTGCGGACCATGCCATGAAATACCCTGAAGTATTTTGGTCAACAAGCTGTTATGAAGTTTGCAGCCGATGCCATAATACTTTCTCCTCAAGAAAATAAGTCTCCTTGTTTTTAGACACTGCATATGGAAAGCTCATAACTAACATATTACTGTCAACTGATTAACTCTGCTTCATTCCTCTTAGTGAGCTTCCAGCCGTTTGCCATCTGCTGGAGACCAGAGCTGACATTTATGGGAGAGTGTAGGAGGCAGATTGATAGAGAATGGGTAATAACTTTTCATGGTGCATGTGCAGAGTGAAACCGAAGAATACCACAACCTGGGACAGCATAGGTTAGGGTACCATCAATTATGCTAAGTGGTACCTAGGCCCTGAGATAGCATGGCACTTAAGAATGTGCTTATCTTTAGGCACTGAGTAATTCCACTACTGTTCTACAGAGCACTTAAGTCTGGACTTAACTTGAAGGTGATTACTGCTCTTGGAGGCAGTGTGACTACTTATCTACTTTTAAAGTTAAGCACATGCTTAAGTACATTGTTGAATCACTTTTCAGACAAATGCAGCTCTGTAGGATTTCATCTCACTATTGCCGTAGTCACAGTCACATCATTAAATGAAGGAATGAACTTGTTTAAAAGAAGATGGGGAGGAAAGTGGCATGGAAGAGCCAAGCCAGCTCTCAGGGAAATGAAATTCCATGTTGGCATTGATAGGAACAGGACTGGCCACCAAAGGGGGCAGTTAGCAGACAAAGGAGTAAAAGGAGGTGTAAGAAGAAATGGGAGCAAAAGTCTGGGTGGCTGGGATTTGGATCGGGGGCTTAACATAACAAATAGCATGTGAGTAATAGTACTGGGCATGTGGATGTTTCCTAGGTTGGCCGGATACAAAGGAGGGGCCTGCAGACAATCCAGCAGTGTGATCCTTGCATTGAAAATCCTGATTGGGGTAGTGCCGACCATCCTCATTCTTCTAGGTTTATTCATACTCCTTTTCTACCCAATCACCGAAAAAAGTCGAAAGGAAACTGAGCAGGCGCTTGAACAGTTAAGGTAGGATTACATCAGCAGCAAATAGCAGTGACCTGACAGGGGCATTTGGAGCAAGATATCATCTCAGCATACTGATCCCACCCTGCTCTACCTCTGTTTTGCATCTGACCCAAGTCTCATAGTCACAGTCCTTTCCCAGTGCTTGCCTGCAGTTGGGGGTTAGATGCAAGTGAGCCAATTGAAACTGAATCCAAAAAAGACAGAGGTGATGATTGTGGGCAGACCGCATAACTTGGGAGGGATTAGGACACCTATCACTGGTGTTCTGCCTCCCCTTGTCACCTAGGTTTGCAGCCTTGGGGTGCTTCTGGATCTTCTGGGTCCACCTGGATCTTCAGGTGTCAGCTGTGGCTAGAAGCACCTTTCACCAACTCCATCTGGTGAGAAGGCTGTGACCCTTTCTTTCATGTTCATATCTGGCCACCATCATCCATGCCTTCATAACCTCAAGGCTAAACTTGCAATGTACGGTACATAAGGCTGCCCTTGACCATCCAGAAGCAGCAACAGAAGGTGCAGAGCATGGTGGCCCACCTTCTGAGGGGGTGGTTCTCCAGGAGCACATAACTCCAGTGGTCCAGAGTCTGCATTGGTTCTCAGTAGCTTTCTGGGTGCAATCCAAGATGCTGGTTTTAACACATAGGGCCCTAACCAGTGTTTCTCAACCAGAGTGCCTTAGTACCATGGGGTGCCATGAAATCCTTTCAAGGATGCCAAGGGGTGCCACGCAATGTTACAACTGTGATGTGTGCAAACAGATAAACAGAGAGATTTCAAATAGAAGTCCAATGTGTCAAAACCATTTTGACCTATTGTGGTCTTTTTGAGTTCTTTGCAGCAAAAAAATGGCCTATTATTTTTCAGCGGTCAAAAATAAGTCAAAGCTCAGAGCTGGCATTTTCCAAGGGGTGCCCTGAGTCTTACGAGGGGTGCCTTCAGTCTAAAAAGGTCTGAACCTTATATCACTTAGGGACCTTTTCTCTTATGCCTCACTAAGACCCTGAGGTCAGTCGAGAACAGCCATCTGTAATCAATACCCCAAGTCTGCTTGGCAAAAACAAATGGCTCACTAACCCATGGGTTGCTAGGGCAAAAACAGTTGCCTCTTCAACATACAGGCAGAAAGCGCTCTTAGGAAGGACAGTACTCTCTGCCTGCAATAGGAAAAATAAGCCTCACAATAATGAAGGTATTTCATGGAAATGGGCCATTAGCTAGAGAAACTCCAGTTGCTCCAGGAAATAAAGTATTTTCTTGAAAATTCGGAGACTTTAACAAAAAAATGAACAAGGCTGGGGGTAGGGAGTGATGGCTTGGATGTATTTGAAAGCTTTCCGTTTTAAGTTATTCTGTTCTCTTGTTGTTGTTCTGTTTTATAAGCGATTCTGCTCTCTTATTGTAAGCTGCCCAAATGTAAATAATACAAATCATGCAGCAAAATCTCAGAACGCACCAGTGAAGAACAGCGCTCTCGGGGGTGGGACGCAGCACGCTGCCATTGTACAGCGGTTTTGGACTGGAGGGGATGGCTGTTATATCCAGTCAAAACTACAGGTGAAGAAATCCTTAGCTAAGGAAAATGTAATTAAACATGACCTATCTTTTCTTGCTGACGGATTTCTTTCCCAATTAAAAAAACCTAGGCTGAAGGTCTAAAACTTCAGACCTCATTTTGGATGTTTAAGACAATATTAAGTCCTCAGTATACTGAGAGGCTATTCTCTCCTCTCTGTTCTGGTTGTCTTTTGAGGTGCCTAAGTTTTAGTTTTTGCTAAATTTGGCAAAACATACTGAGAAAATAACAGCAAGCAGGAAAAAATGGAGACCTCATCATCACATGTGATCCTCTCTGCCCTTCACAGAAGGAACCATCCCAGTTGTGACAACCTGTTTGAAAATGAAGGCAATATCCTGATATGAGAATCCAGAAAGCAGCGGCTGTCAAAGAAGAACCTTCGATTCCAGATCACCATACCAGTGTTCGGTTATCCTGTAGATAAGTTATCAGAAGAATAAATGGACTGGCCTTGATTGACAAAACCAGGAAGATCCTGAGTTGAGTTCAATGAATGCAACTTCATGCCCCACCTGAAAAAGGTGTTAGCCATGCTGAATCAGTATTAACCAAATCCCCAGCACTGTTGAGGATAACATGCAGCTGAAGCAGCTATTGGGACATAAGGCAAAGATGCCGTGGTCAGGGAAGATCTCATGGAACTGCTGGCAAAAGCAATATCCTAATGTGCTTAGCCGATTACTTTATTCTGACCTGCACTGTCTTTGTAGTCTCTGCTGAACACAGGATTTTCTTTGCTACCTGTCCTACCCTATTTGTCTTTGTTGCCCTTCACCATAGTAGTGGCTGCATCTCGACAGTTGATGTATGTGATCCCTGGGGGCTTATATAGCAGTTTGTTTCCAAAAGCACTTTGGGATCCTGGAGGATGAAATGTCCTAAATAGATGCCTGAATTAGTTCTTTTTTAAATGAAAATCCCCAGGTGCAGTTTGGGACAGTCATGTCATGAGGATTTTCCCATGCACTGTCACTCCAAACTGGAGTGATTTTATTTTAATTTGGGGAGCTACTGCCAAAAAATGTTTTCTAACGTGACTAGTGATTTTGGGTGCCTGACTTTTTGGCTGTGCCACTTAACACACAGCTGTGGTCCTGACTGTGACAGTGTCAGTGCTCATCACTTTCTGACAGGCACCTTTAAGGCATCTCACATTGAGGTACTTAAGGTCAGTAGTCACTTTGGGAATTGTAGACAGTAACATCTTGTATTTATCTGCCTTCAGTGGTGAATGCGTGTATGACTTGCATGAGACATTGCTTCTCCGTACAGAGAGCTGCCCTTCTCCTATTGACGTGCTGCAGCAGTGTTACTGTTCTCAACACACATACTGCATTTTACAGTAATGATACTGTACCAGTCGCACAGTTGGTGCCTTTTTGAATCAGGGAAATCATAATGTGTTAGACAGACAAGGTTCCTTGGGTGAATTTGATATCTTTTATTAGACCAACCCAAATGGTTGGAGAGAAGGGTTTTTGAACCCGAAAGCTTGCTTAATAACTATTCTCCAACCATTTGGGTTGGTCTAATAAAAGATATCAAATTCACCCAAGGAACCTTGTCTGCCTATGTCCTTAGACCAACACGGCTACAACCTACACCCCTGCATAATGTGTTAGAAGCATTAATGAAAGCCTCATCATACCTCTGCCTGGAGGATGCATTACTGGGCATGTTTTACACAGGGAGATTGGCACACAGAGATCAAGGGCTTGTGCACTCAGGGAAGGTAGCATGCTGTTAGCTTATTGCGCACTAGCTACTCCAACTAAAAATGCCATGCAGGCACTCAGTCCATGCTAAATGTGCCTTTGCACAGTGCAGGCTTCTGCCATTCGGAAGCACTTGATCTAGAGCACACTGGAGTCTACAGTGTCACAACCCAAATCAATCAGTGCCCATGTCACTTGCAAGAGATACCATTCAGACCATCATCTGATCAACTAAGGGTTAAAACAAAATCCTGGTGAAGAACTGTATATAATTTATGCCCACGTCACAAACGAGAAACGAAACTTAAGGCTGGTCAGGGTGAAAGGGGATAGCCCTGCCATAAATCCCTGCAATTGGTCAAGGAACAAGCGTAGGTACCTCACACGTAACATACTAAAAACCTAACCCACTACCTTATAACTTGATAGCAACCTGAGAGCACAAAGAACTGCTGCTTGCCAGATAATTAAAGATTCCATTTAGCAGTTCATCATTGGATATCTCTGAGAAACACCTCTGTCTATAAATAGTTTAGCAACTTCCGCCCAAGTCAGAGAAACTCTGGGAGACCTCTGCGGAAATCTCTAAGGAGAAACCTAAGATCATCATCAGAGTAAATTGACAGTTTGATCAGCTGTCAATAGCTTCCCGTCAGCGTAATATTGACGTATCAAAGCCCTGCAGGCACGATAGCTCGTTCCCGGCGCCACGTCCGTCATCGTTAGCTATAACCCGAAACTGTACGCTTGATCGTAATCGTTGTATCGTTAGCTGTAACCCGAGACCATACGCTTGATTATAATCACTATAACTGGAAAAACTGCAACGGAACAAAGGCTCAGCCTGCGTCGCGCGTCACTATCTGAGCGACGTAAGTAAACACATTTCTGTAACCAACACGCGTCTGTGCCTGGTTAATTTCACCTCGTCCATCACTACCCGCCTGTTGAGGCGACAGTTTTACGACTCCGGGTGGGAGTCAGTAAGCAGCTGACGGGCCACTGCTCTGATCTCCGACATACAGGAGCTGGTTTAGGCCATGATTGCTTCCAGGTCACCCAACAAGTGAACAGTGATAATGAGCCCAGGATGGTCTAAAATCAGTAGTGCTCGATCTTCTAGCACTGTGGGCTGGGTGCGTGACGCAGGGCTGATTGTGGATCAACTGCGTAGTTGGGCCTATGCATTGTGCCGTACACACCAGGATTCATAAACTTGCTGGGGTATTAATCCTAGCTCGGCCCCTGCTTCTAGCAAAAATGTCAAAAAAAAATCATCAAGTTTAGTGTTCTTGACCTCGTGCATGGCAGCATTCATGGGCCCAAATAAAATAGAAGAATTATAGATAAAAGATATAACTGGGTATTTTTGGAATTTTCAAATATAGAGTTGTTCTATTTTATTTGATTATCAGAGTTATATTTTTGTTGATGATATGAATGTATTTTTCTAAATGAGAAGCTTAAAGAATGAATTTGGAAAAGAAAGTAGAGTTGGTATTTTCTGTGATTTTTTTCCTCAAGGATCAATGTCGGTACTGTGAAAAAAATGAATGTGTATATTCCTTCTTTCAGCACTGTTTAAACAATCACACTCATTGTATCTGGGATTGGAACAATCAGATCTCTGTATTGTCATCTGTCTGCATTAAATGTTTACACAAAGTACCCCTTTGTTTGAGAAATAATTCTCTCTGCTTTCTCTGGACCTTACAGACAAGGCTACAAGCCCATATTTCATCTCTGAGGCATGCAGGGATTTCCACATGTATTGAATTCCTACAAGACCAGAATTTGGCTTTAAGACAGTTAAATTGGCTATAATTTTGAAACTGAATTCTGCATGCAGGCTCTGGCCCAGAGTTTGCTTCAGAATCTAATTTGTTTGTCTCCTTTTAGATTTACCTTAATGCATTTTGGATTTAAAGCTCAAAAATATGCCTGTCTCCCTGGGAAACTGCTGTTGAGGGAAACTTGAGTAACCTAATAAATGTTATCGAGGCATTTGAAATAGTTGCTGAGTTTGTAAAGGTCAAAGCAGGATAGATAAGTGAATCCCAAGGTCTCCATGTAACAGAACCAGGTGTATTGCAGCCTACACCGTGCTGGCGCCAGGTTATGTGACAGGGTTGGGGACATCCATCTTCTAACGCAGAGTTTGCTTCTAGCAGGGGCAGGCCATCAGATGTAACCCAGATGACAAGCTTATGAACAGGGGCTCCCATCCAGGCTGCAAAAAACAGCCACCTGTTAGAACTGCAGGTGCTCGAGGAGTGAGGTCCTGCTCCCGTTGCAATTCACAGCAGACCTTGGGATTTCAGTGGGAGCAGCTTGGCCTGGCTGTCAGCACTGTGCTCATTCAGCTGTGCATACCCTAATTATCCTGCTCCAAACCTCCGTCCTGTGCTCATCAGGAGTTGCAGAGTCCCACTGGAGGTTAGAAGGCCAGCAGCTGAATGGGACATGAGCATGGGCAGTGCAATGATCTCAGCCCAGCCAGAGCCAAGAGGGAACCTGTGACAGCCCCAGGGGTGTCCATGCTTGTTTGTGCACAAGTGGGTGGTGCAGATCAAGGGAAGACGTTAGGAGCCTAGACAGTGCTGTGTACACAGAGGCTCTCCAGCTACACTGCACAGCCATCAAAACCAATTCACTGTTTTTCTCTTGATGCAAATGCTCAGATAAATGCCTCCATAAGGGTGAATAACAGGTGATTTGATCAAACTCATTTAACTTCATCTCTTTATCGGTACTGATAAACTGTTTCTGGAGTGTTAACTTTCCATCAGAGCCCATAGGAGGTTCTTTGCAAATAGCATCGATTTTTGAGATTTGGTTTTCCTGGACAATGAATCGGCGTGTACAGAATCACCAACCAAACCCCTGCTTTTGGACGGCGGGGGTGTTTCTTTTTATCTTTTGAGGACTCACCCAAATGCTACGCAGGCTTGCAGAATGAGAGCCAGGAGCAGCACTGTTGTATTGCCAGTAGGAAGACTGCCCAGCTTCAAGTCCACAAGCACTTGCCCAGTCCAAGTTCACATCCACATAGCAGGCATTCTTCACCTCAACCCCCCGATGAACTCCTGGCGACCAGCAGATCAGTGGGATGTGACTTCTCTCTTTTTTATGCAGCTTCTTTTCCCAGGCCACGGGATCCCTGTGCTGTGCTATGAGCCTTTCCAGCACTTGTAACTCCTTGAAAGTACTATATCAGATATTAAGACAGCATACACTGTGCATTTTTATTGTATGTCTGTCTATAATACATGCAGGATACATACTTAATATATGAAAAGCTGGAGCAGGGCAGGGGTTGCATGGGCACCAGGGCTAGGGACAGAAGTTACACATAAGCTGGTTTAGTGATCAGAAACTGGTTTAAATCAGTAACAGACCAGAAGCTCAGTGCACATAAACCAGTTTCAAAATGACTGAAACTGGTTTAAGATAAACCTGGTTGAATGTAGTATCAGACTTAACTGATTTGGGTCAAAACAGTTTATGCAACTTCTGTTCCAGACCCCGTCCTGGTTTAAGTTAAATCAGAGTATCCCAGCATGCTTTCCATGTTGGGCTGGGCTGAGCAGGGGGTGTCACAGTTGCCCCTGGAACATGGCTTTGCTGCACTGATATGTAGCCTTTTTTGGGTCATATAAAGAGAGGAGCTGTCCTAGCCTGCTCTGTTCCACTTATGTGAATGTAATGCTGGAGGATTGTATGATCACCCTGATGTTTAAAGGAAATCAACAAGTCCATCACGAGGGAGCTGCAAGTATCTATACTTTCCAAGTCCTATCTGTTCGCTTTACAGGTTTGTGCATGCTATTGTCTTTGAGGGAAGTATTAGTTCAGCCAGGTTTTCCAACTGGTGTACTACAGTCCCCACGTGGCCTGCAAGGCATTAAGTTGTAGCCCCCAGGTTCCTGCTTGGTTTCCACACCACACATTGCTTTGGCTGCAAAGGAGCCAAGTCTCTGGGCTCCCCCTTCCTCCTCCAGCTTCTGCTTTCTGTCTCACCCTAA